AATTTACACTTCATTCTTCATTTTTTCCTATTCAGCCAACTTGAATTATTCACCTCTTTTGAATAAACTGAAACTTACACAGTATACTGCCGATCCATCAGCCTTCCATGCAAGAGCGCTACAGACATATAAGTTGCTTATATCTAGTGTATTGCCTTCTTCCCATGCTCCTCTACGAAATGACCACGAAAAAAGTCGGAGCCTAAGAGAGCGAAATCACAGCATGAAATCTGTCCATACTCTTAGTTTCCATAATTGCACATGCACGCGTTGTGCCAGCGCCGTGCTGACGCCGTGTCGGAACTTGCCGACAAGTTTGGTCGATCAATATGCAGTGACTGCACGTTGGTTCCGACACTGTGCTGACACGGAGCCGGCACAAAGGCAATTCTGGAAGCAGCTTTACCTATCAAAACTACCCAGGACCACATTGTTACCAGTTGTATCGGTAGTTATCGCGGAGAACTCTTTCTCATGTTGAGAAGAAAAATCAAATTGTTGTTGGACCAAACCATTTTCTGGAAATTATTGTATAGCATTATGAGATGAATTGTTAAGAAGAAACTCACCAGTATACGAAAATACTCTACGATCGCTAACAGCAATAATTCCATGCGCTGTGTAGACCAGACAAAATGGTGCCCCAGGCACTGAGCATATTTTGATCTACATAAAAACATAGAATTATTTTTGGGCAAATTTGCTTTGAAAACTTGCCTGATTTTTGCTGCTAAACGTGAAATGAATTATTGAGCCATCTTGGTGTCCAGAAACGAATGCGGTCCTTCGGGGACTGAAAATAGAACGGTAATAAATCTCGAAGAAACTTTGAGACATGAGCGGAAACAGCTTGAAAATTCGTATTTTGAAGCAGCACCCCTTGGAAGCTGCTGTAAAATTAATAAGCATTTATTAAAATAGGAGTTCTTCTGCTCAAGTCCGCATTAAACCAATTTTTCTTCTTATTTGAATACAACAATGTATCCATTATCTGGAGGCCAACTTCTTTCATTACAGATATAATATGATTAATTATGCTGACTCAAAATCTCAAGTTGAAAGTTCATAACAGAAGCAACAATTTCGTGGGTCTCTAATATGACCCCAAAGGAGCGTCAGCTCGATAGTGCTAGAATAGTTGAAGAATCAAACTGCACTCATATATAAATTTTACATAAATGCTATCCAGGCTGAGGGTGAAAGGAGGACGGGAGGGGGGAGGGGGGAGCAAAAAGTTCAAAAAATAAGCTAGTACAGCTTTTTTCCTTCAGTCGACAATCGTTAGCTGGAAGTCAAACCTCTTCAAAATGTTGATAATCACAAAAGCGTAGGAATTCTGAACATAGCAAAGAAATTCAACCTTATTTTCACCACTATTTATTCATACTTCTGTTACTTTGTCCTTTGTGAATCTTGTAACATTGTTACATGCTAGAGCCGAACGCGGCTAGCTCAATTTCAAAACTAGAACATCGTTGAGTTCTTCACTCATTCAAGAGATTAATCTTTACTATACTCTGGTACTTTTTTCAATTTTTTCCTTAGTTGTAACTCCGAAATTGATCTAATTACTTCATTGAATTTTGTGATTTGTGCAG